ATGACATGTGAAGTTCGCCAACACGTATTGGGGCAGCGCGGTGGACATTTCCTTGCCCTAAAACCCTCAAATGAGAGGAGGCCTGTGCCCAGCAGTGGGACGTAAATAGGCTGCAACTTTACTTTACTTAAAACTGAAAAAAAAGTTATTTGGTATTTGAGTGATTCTGGCTATAAAACAATATCACCATCACGACATTTATTGTAATTTCGCTACTTTTAGTTTTAGTCGAGTTTTGTTGAATAATTAAATATATCAATACCTCTGTATATATACCATACAGGCTTGCAGCTTTGTCAGGCTCATGGACATAAATTATTACAGTGAGTCTCAATACGATTCACCTGCGAAAAATCTTAACACCGCAATTCAGAAAAGGTTGTAATTTGTACAACGCCATCTATTACGTTCTTTGTGAGAAAACATCCTTTTTTAATTTAAGGAAAACATATTTTTACTGTGTTTTAAGTACTATAATAGAACGATACGAAATATATTATAATAGAACGTTTTTTTTACACACGAATCTTTTTATTACTATTTTTGGGATTTTGTGGCGCCATTAAACAAATTCGAACCTACATTTCAAAATAATAATCATGACTTTCGATAGAATTAACCAATTTCAATAAAACAAAGATTAAATGAACTTGATAATACGCTTTATGATTTTCTTAAGGATTTCATTGAAAAAAAAAAAGATGTTTACTCAAAACGTCATGCGTCCATAAACAAACAGACAGACCGTCAGATAGTACAATTCTAAAAATTATAAAAATGTACTTATTTAATGATTTACAGTCCCAATAATGATTTTAGTCGCAAATTAATATACTATACAATATTCAGAAACAGACATAACATGTTATTACCATTTTTATTATATGTATAGATTTAAGAGAGATGGCGCTGTTAACATCAATTCTAAAAATAAGAGATTAATTCACACGATTGATACAATAAAAAACATAAAAGAACTTATAAATCAGTGCCTGCATAGTAAGCAAAAAAGAAAGTTTGATCCTCGCCGAAAAATGAAATTGTTAATAGCTCTTAAAATTTGATTTACCACATAGAGTACTCGGCGGTAAAAAAATAAAAAATAAATGAGATTGTCAACACGCAGTAGGGCAGCGTGTCATTAATATAAAGGTTAGAAGCAAATATGAAACTCAACTACAGGAATAAATTTTAACCTGCCTTTTTGTATCACATTTATGCCACACCACCATCTATCGAAGAAATGGGTTAACTATTGTGCTTCAGATTTAGTTAATAAGGTTAATATATTTTTGTATAATATATTTAATACGTTCTTTAATACTTTTGTTTACTGCGTTTTAGATATACATAATTATATCATTATTTTACATAATTTAACTATGATTTATGATATGATATTAGTTTAAAATGCACTTGATGACTCAAACAAAGCCACCGTTGAGCAAATTCGTACCTATTCTTCCCTACCCATACTTCAGAATATTTATCATAACTTTTGATGGAATGAACTGATTTTAATGAAATAAAGACTAAATGTAACCCGAAGATACACTTTATAATTTCCTTAACAATTCTTATGATATAAATTAGTACTTTATACGTGATACGTTAACAAACAAACAGACAGACAGACAGACAGACAGACAGACAGAAAATTCTAAAATGGTAGAAATGTATTTAATACCTTATTTTTAGTACCCCTCAATCACTTTTATTACAAAAATATAAAATGTACAGACATCTGCTATTTACAGTTTTATTATATGTATAGAAGATGAATTTGCAAAACTTTTTCATATTTTCAATAACTTTACCCTAAATTTATCTTAGTTTTTTTTGGTTAATGTAAAATTTTTACAATTTTAAACGAAATTTTGTATATTAGTTACTAAAAAAAAAAAAGTCGAAAGTGTATCTACTCTATTATTTTAAGTTTCATAACAATAGTATTTTTTTATTATGGACAACGAAACATAAAATTATGTAATCTGCTTCAAAAAAAAAATTGTCTCTTCTAATGTTAATAAATATTTTGTTTAAACAAACTTTAGGTGTGTAATATTGTATATTTTAAATTTATGTCTCAATTAAGATAAACATATTCCATAAAAGTCATAAAATAAAAAAGTAGTAATGTGTTTTCGACTATTATAAATAACTTAAATAATGAATACACGATAATGTATGTAAAGTTATTATCACAAGGAAATATAACTACCTAAACTGTGTAAATTAAGAAAAAATGTTTAAAACAAATATTTAACGGTAAACTATTAGGAAAGGTAAATTATTTTATTCACGGTATTATCTTATTGTATTGTTAAAAGTAGGTACCATCATACGATGTAATCTCAAACGTCTCCATATACGTGTACTTTGGAATTTAAAACAAAGGTGTCATAAATCGCTTACGCGGCTGGGATCACAACATGTATTTTGATCTGTCTGTTGTTATGTTAACGAAAATGATTAGGTACATTGCTTTGCATTGACTTCTTTGTTCTGGATATCTAAATATAAAATGTAATCAATTATTTTCGGTATAATATTGATTGAACTTTCAAATCATAAACGTTTTATCTATTACAATTTATTATTTTCTGAGAAAATAGTAAAGTGATGCCGACTTAGTATGTATGGATTATGAAAATAATTACTTTATTTAATACGATCTTGAAACTCATTATACTATGTTTGCAATTAATTACTTTAAATTTTGTTGTGACCAAAATATTGTGAGCCTCAATCCCTGACTGACAATGATATATGTACCTAAATATTATACGAGATTATATTATGATATAAATTTGTAATGCCTGTAAAATAGTAAAAAAAAATATATATTATATATTTATTATATTGCCCAATTATGTCAAATATGTATGTTGTATTTCAGCAATTGCAGAGCACAAGTTCTATGTTTTTAATTCGTTACCAATTATGGAGAATGGTATCATCGGTCGAAATCTTTTAAAAAAAAAATATAGATCAGTTTCGCATTTTGACTCGAATATTTTAATATTATATGACCATCTTGGTAGATCATAATAAAACCTATTTCAAACACTTGTAATAATTCCTTGGCAAGTTTTTTTTCTTCTTTTATTTCACTAATGTGATAAGATGGGTTAAGATACTTAAAGTTATGTGTTGAATGGCAAGGATTGTAAGTATAATTTATTGAGAGATTTGACTGATAAAAATAAATTCAGTGAGAGTTTTATACACATTGGTTAGAGTAAATTGACATATTAACTTATTTCAGTAATGAAAATATGTTGGAATGTTAATAGGTAAAGCACAAGATCTGGTAGATAATTAGCTATTTCAGTGATAGTCGGGTGCGCAAACGAGTATTATGGAAATGCTAAGAATTCAATGAGAACTTTTCGTAGACATCAGGTTTTTAGAAAGGATAAAAAGTACATATAATATGATGTCAAGTTTATTGCAAAATGCATTATTATTGTTGCCCACCTATATACCTACATGATTATGTTAACATGTTGTTGTAATGTTGGTTAGTACCAAAAATTAATTTTATATTTTGTTTAACTGCTTTATTTTACTCAATTGAGGAATTATATAAATTTAATGGTTAAGTAACATTGTATTTTATTTTTCAATATTAAATTTATTATTATGTAATAAGATTCAGGGTTCATATAATATTATAATTAAATATTACATGTAATCATAAATCATTTTTATTATATCTGTCAAGAAAATAACATGTAAAAAAAAAGTAAATAGAACACTTTTCTTTTTTTTCTTAAATATCGGGGGAGGTGTAGTGTATGTGTCTCCACCCTACTAGTAGTGTAAGAAATACATGTACTCTTAAGTTTATTGAACAGTATAATTAAAGAATTAGTCTCAGCAACACGTCTTCTCTTTCATTAACACCTGCCGACATCACAAGACTATGTGAATTAAATTACTTAAGATTCCTTAATTTTTAAATGGGGAGAGTTTAAAGCGCTTGAATAAGGTAATGTTCGATCGTAAATCTTGGTGTTAAACGGCTATATCTCGCCGAATATTCACTGTACAAAAAATCTGCACACAGGGAAATTTTTGTCATTAAAAAAGCTACAATTTAGTACTATATCGTTTTTTTCGTATCTTTAGCATTTTGGGAAATATTTTTAAGAAAACACGAAATTGAAAAAAATCGTTTTCTCTTTAAACTCCAATTTGTCTAAAATTAGGCATTTTAAATTGGCCAATTTTCGTGGGTGTATTAATAGTATATATATAAAGAGAATCGCAGAAGGGTGGCGATCAATTTTAATTAGGGTTGTTATCACAGATTTTTTTCGTAGAAAAAAGCGGGTACCTATGGGTATTTTGATCATAAGTCGGTCAATTTTCATGCTAGAGACATTTTTTTTGTTTGAAAGCTCTAATTAAATACTTTAAAAAGATTCTATGAGCTTTCTTCGAATAATGTAAATTTTTCTCGTTATTTCGCTTTAAATCTTCCAATTTATACATTTGACGAAAAAAGCTAAGCATTAATTTGCTGTATCACAGTTCGTATTTGTCGTAGAAAAATTATAAAAAAGCATAGTTTTTTTTTTTTTTTAAAGCTACAATTTGGATCTCTACACTTTTTTTGATAAAATGCATATTTTTAGAGTTATTCGCAAAAAAACCATTTAAAAAGGCAATATTTTCGTCAAAAAACTGTTACTTTTAACTTTGAATAACTCAAAAAACGTATATAACATTTTTTTCTTAGAATTACTTTTTCCGTCGATTCCTATAGTTAAAATATAATAAATAAATTCCACTCCCGAGATAGGGTGGCAACCACCCCCAAGGCTCTAGCGTACAGCGGCATGATATAGACAATAATCCTTGAGCTATTCCCTACCTTCTGTGAAAATTTTAAGTAAATCCATGGTGGACGAAAAAATTGCGAGCCAAAATGCTTCATTTCCTGGACTAAAGCAATGGTGGTAGGGAGTACAGTGGTTGTTGTTGGTTGCAAGGTACGGCGAACCGCGAGGCGAACTTCTCGGAGCGAGCTGCAGCGCTGCAGGCGTTCAGTGGGCGCGCGTGCGCTGCGGCGGGCGTGGTGGCGGCCGCCGCGCACCACAAGCGACTCGCCGACCCGCTGGCGCACCACGCCAGGCAGGTACGTGCGAGCAGGACCACGTGATGCGGTAGAGACGGCACTGCTCTATGTGCACGAGCAGGATAACACGATGCGGTCCGCCCCACGTATGACAGGAATGGACTGATGAAAGTGCAGTGCATCGACACTGTTTTCTACTTCATTTACTGTGGCGTTGGCTACAAGGCTTTTAGCCAAAAGCAATACATCAAACGCTGTAATAATTTAAATGATTCTGGAAATTTTTCGATGACTTTAATATAGCAAGCTTTGAAGGCACAGCAAATAAAATGTTGAGTTTTATAACACCATCTAAGGTAATTTGGATTCGAAGGCATTTAATAATATTAATTAACATTGTCTGAATATTTGGTCCGATCTACGCAGAACGAGCTCACAGTATCTTGAAGTTTTGCAGTGGAATGCTTGTTTGGATTTAATTTTATTAATTATAGTATCACAAGCACATGGTAGCACCCATACATTTTCTCTATTGAAATTGGGATGTTTTTTAATTTCAATAGCCTCCCGAATTATCCTCGATAAAAATAAGAGTATAACCATTCTATACCAACCACCGAGAGCGAAAATATTATATAAAAAAGATTACTTTATATTAATTTTATTTGAAAATTTATTCAGTATGTTATGTTTCCAGGTCGAGAAACTTTCCCCGCAGCTCATTGCCGCTGGTAAAATTCGCCTGCATTACCCCGACAGTAAGGTAAGGACTTATAAAGTCTCCAATAATGCCATATTGTATTATTAAGTAGTGTGGGTGATAGATATACTTTAGGTAAACATTAGATAGAGAAACAAAGATATTTATACCAAATATTTACTAATAAGAAGATACTACATAACCCAACTTTAAACACAAGAATTAGAACTAGAACTAGTGGTACTTACCTTCTGGTTAATGTTATTCTCAATATATAGTCAGTAAGTCTCATGTCAGTTCTTAACGGTATCCAAACAGTAGTTATTTACTTAGGTCACAAGTGGGACGAATGGACATCCGTTTTAATTTTCACTCATTTAGAATTTTTAAGCAAATTACTTTGTATTGCTCTCTATCTGTTCCTGAATTATTTTTTTATAGGATCGAGTGACAAACGAGCACACAGTCCACCTGATGGTAAGTGGTTGCTGTGGCCCATAGACATCCACATCTATCCTGGTTTGCGAATCAAAATGCAGATGCGTTGTCACTCGTGAGGACTAAGATGGAATGCCTCCTATCCAGTAAAAAGGGTATCCGGTTCTCTACACTCACCATACGAAACACAGCAGTGTTAAGCTGCTATTTTACGCTGGTATTCTGTGAGCTATTATCGCAGCCATTCCGAAAATTAACCTGGACAAACAGACATACTAACAAAAATTTTACAATTTTTTTTGTTGTGCATGTCTTATTGGCATGCTAATAACCCTGCTGAGCTCAATGGCAGTTATTTGGATATTACAGATAGATAGATGAATTATTGTTAAATATTTCAAAATTAATTAGCTGATAAGATCTACGTGTAAAAATAATACGATGTGAAGAAAACAACGAATCACGTTAAACTTGAATGTTATATTGTTTCTTCTATGTAGTGGCGGTGTAAGAATATCCACTACTCCATATCATCCCGTGGGTGTCATAAAAGGCGAGAGAGGGAACTAACCAGGAGACGGACTGCAGCGTCTTCCTAATATCTAAAAACACTTCCTAATAACTACTAAAACATTCCCTAACAACAACTAAAAAACTTCCTAATTACAAATAAAACATTTCCTAATAATAACTAAAAACATTTTAATAACAACTGAAAACACTTCCTAATAACAATTTAAAACACTTTCTAATAACAACTAAAAACAACATGTGTGCAGTTCACATGCGGTAGAAGTGAGACCTTCAGAAAAGGCGACCGAGATGAAAGGAAACACTGTATACTGTATTATCTCATCGTTCGCAGGCTAAATCCTATAAATGTATGTGTATATGTTTGTCTCTTTTTAGTGTTGCTTTTTTGTTTCATCGACTTTCAAATCACAACGGTTCTAAAGAAGTTTTTACTTCAAAAAACTGGTTGCCAAACACGCCTGACAAGCGTGGCAACTATGGCAAATATCTCCCCAATGAGGCAATCTATGGGCGAGGTATATGTTAAGCAGTGCCCTTTTATTTAGGCTGTAATGGCTGGATGAATGAAAGAATTGTAGATAAAATTTAGTTACAGTGATATAAATAGTTAGACCGAGCTTATTACAAGGTAAATCACAGTTAATTTAAAAAAAAATCCTTAAGATACCGGCGGTTCCGATAAATCCTTTCAATTTGGGTTTGGTTATTTCCTGAAAATTATACTTGTATAAATAGCTCACTTGATTAACAGGTAGCCGAGGAGCATTTCAACAACCTCAAGAACCAATATGCCGACGCTGTGCTCCGCGTAAGAGATCTCTGTGATCAGGCGGTTGATCCGTTGGACTTTGTCAGGACTGCTGGTAAATGTTTATTTTATGTAAAAACTCTTTGTCTTGTTCATCATTATTATCATTATAGCCCTTTAAAATAATATAAAATCCATCGCTGAACACCCCCACCACCCCCCCTCTCTCAAGAAATGCTTCAAAGCATGGTCTCGAGCAACCCGCATCTATCAACTTCCATAATATATAATCAAAAATAAGTGAATATTAAATGTAATAAAAACTGTAATGTTTAGCTAACTTGTTACAGGTGAATTGATGCAAAAGCACACCTACCTATGCGAGGACGCGATACGCAACGACGACGCTCAGAAGATGGTGGATAATACTTCGGCTATTGCTCGGTGAGTTAGAAACTGTTCTTTTTTTTAATAAAAATGACAAACTAGCACACAGTCTACCTGAGAGTAAGTGGATGCTGTTGCCCATATAAATCTACATTTATCCTCAACTATGAATCTAAATGCAGGTCCGTTGTCACCCCTGAGGACTAAGATGGAATGCCATCTACCACGCTAAAACTACTGATAACTAAATCACTTGACTTCTCTTCGGTATACCAACTAGATAACTTTTGTTACGGCCCTCAGTTGCCCCGACAAAGCTCGACTGGGCTAGGGCCCATCAGTAGCTCACTCGACGAGCAACCAGTGGGTTCGGGCCCAAATGGCCTATGGATAATTATTATTTAATGGCTGATAAGCAAACACAAACTTACCGAGTTCCGCAGGTAGTGTCGACCACAAGGCGCAGTCAGGTGGTAAGTAAGGTGTATGTAAGTAGTGTGCGAAAGTGTGTAATGTAACCTGACGTTACCGATGTAATCGGACAGCAGACCCACATGCGCGGCTTTGTTCCACAATGTATTATCACTCCAGTGGGCATTCACCAATCGAGACTTTCTGCTTTTATTTCACTATATTAGTTTATCAACTTTATTGAACATTTAATTAACTTCAAATTGAACTAAATCAACGTTAATCGAACTTAAAACAAGTGACACACTGCACAACTTAAGAACGGTTGGTCAAAGTTCAATGTCCCATTTTCATTTAGCACAAAATTATAATCGAACACGAACGCGATCTCCTCTCGAGTCACAATTTTTTAGCGTTTCACCCGACAAAGCATAAATTCTTTCGCACCATATTAAAATGCCACACAAGCAACTCGTCGAGGCAAATTAATGGCAACCGAAGTTAAATTAATCACTCAAAACTCAAGCCAAGCCTAGTTGTCACGTAAAACGCACGAAATAAGACAATGCAATCAGAGGCGGTCGTAATGCGACCTAACGTTCCGAGCGTAAATTCCAGGCCGTCTAACCGACGCTGCGGCCGCGAACAATTAACACATCAGGTGACCGAGCGGTCAGCCGAGAGACCCGCGCGGGAGAGGGGCCAGCGGTGACCTTAAATTCCATCGGAAGGACACGCCGAGACGCGCGTCTTGAATGCAAGTTTTTAAAATGTTAATATTTGGCCTAAACAACTTTTTTTTATAAGAGAAGGGGTGAACGAGCATCCGGCTCATGTGATGGTAAGTGACTACCGCCGCTCATGAACAACTGCAACACCAGAAGAATTGCAGATGCGTTGCCGTCCTTTTAAAAGTAGTAGGCTCTTTTCTTGAAGGTTCCTAAGTCGTATCGGACTGGATAAATCGCTGGTGGTAATCGATTCCACAAGGACGTTGTGCGAGGAAGGAAACTTCTTCTAAATCTTAGTGGTGGACCGCCAATCATCCAGATGGTGTGGATGGTATCGCAAGTTTTGTCGCGATGTGCGATTGTGAAATTGAGCGGCTGGAATCAGTCCGAACAATTCCTCAGAGCACTCCCCGTGGTATATGCGATGAAACACGCAGAGAGATGCAACGTCTCTTCGCAGCGCCAGTGAATCGAACCGATCGGAAAGTACTCGGTCGTCGATGATTCGAGCCGCTCTGTGCTGGATGCGGTCAAGTGGAAGGAGCTGGCACTGGGGAGCCCCAGCCTAGAGATGGGAATAGTATTCCATTTGAGGCCGAACGCAGGTTCGGCCTTGTAAAGTTGCAGGCGTTGTGCTGGCATAAAATACTGTCCCGCTCTGCTGAGCACGCCAAGCTTTTTAGAGGCCAATTTGGCTTTCTCTTCCAACTGACCACGAAACTGCACGTCACTCAATATGTCGACGCCTACGATTCCGAAACGGCTGAGGCAGCAAGGGGAGTGCCTTGAAACTGGGCAGATACGACTAAGGGGTTCTTTTTAGCGGTAAACGCACAAACTTGTGTCTTCTAAGGATTAAACTGAACTAGATTTAGTCGCCCCCAATCCGAGACTTTGTTCAGCAAAGACTCGACCTCATATACAAGTTTGTTCCGGTACTCGGCGACGTTTTCCCGAGAAATATTGGCACGGCCGGTGTATAGAGCATCACCAGTGCTGTTATCCGCATAGCAATGAGTGTTATTGGTTTGCAACATATCATTGGTGTTCCACAAGGCGTAACACCAGCGTTAATAGGCTTGTAATCGGAGCATGCACCGTCTACTACGACCTTGATGCTCCGATCAGCCAGAAAACTGGTGATCCAGATCTGCCTCCAATAGGTACCACAGATGATGGAATAAATAGTTCCATTCCTTGTAGCATCACATCTGTGGCAGAGTCAGCAAAGGCGCAGGGATCATCCGGCAAAAAGCAAACCCGCCCCCATGGGTAGGATGCAAAGAAGGACCGCATTCCGTCCTAATCCGCCGACCTGTAATGCTAAACACGACAGCAACCTGCAGAACGCAACCGCGAAGGGAGCGTGAGTGGCACAACACTCCGGATCAGACAAAGGCCCGAAGAGCCGAGAGGGGCATCGATGGAAACCAGATATCCATCCGTATAAGAGGTCAGCAGAAGGTCCAACAGGGAAGGTGTATGATCCCCCACATTTGGAATCCGCGTAGGCGAAGTCAGACTATATGCCAAGGCAAAGTCATAAACAGATCTCCCCGCATGATCTGTTAAACGTGAACCTAGCTATTCGGCGTGGTCGGCGTTAAAATCGCCAAGTATCACGATCTCTACGGATGGGAACTGTTGTATGTTGGGATTTATGTTATACATGAAGTTGTGAACAAAATTAAATATTTTGAAATATGTAATGATAACTTTTATTAATGTTATGATAAGTTAGGGAGTGTTGTTAATTGTGTGTATTTTTCATGAAGTGTTTGATGCTGCAGTGTGATTGTGTAACTCTGGTGGGAATCGTTTGACGGTGGGATTCATTCCGCAGTTGCGCCGTTTTTATTAGTGATAATAATTTATAATATAAAATATTAATTTAAAAAGACTTATATTACGTCTTGATAATAATGATCTGATACATTCACACAATACAACTAAATCAATCATCATGTCACATGTCAGGCCAACGACGACATAAGAGATAACAATTTCATCGCATCAAATAGTCTTCTTACCAGGTTGTCACTCTATCTAGTGGGGGACGCTCTACACTTCGTCTATCGGTACGAAGCCGCCACTGGAGAACTTTTTTTCCCCATCGGTTGTCGGTTCTTCGATCTATGCGGCCGGTCCATTGCTACTTCAGATTACCAATCTGTAAAGAACATTGAAACTGAAATATGATATGTTGTATGTGGGGACAGTTTGGCGAACCGAGTTCTGTTGGTGGGCGGTGCGGAGCGCGAGAACACGGAGGACGGCGAGTTCGCGCGCGCGCTGGGCGGCGCGCAGCAGCGCCTGCAGGCCAGCATCGCGCCCGCCGTGCGCCTCGCCAAGCGCGTGGCGCTGCGCGACCGCGCCGCCGTGCCCGCCTGGCGCGCCGCCAACGCAGAGGCACGTGCCCACACGCACGCACGCATATATACACATATATAATATAATGCTTGAATGTGTTGGCTCGACGGAAGAAACACCACCTACTCATAGAATACCAACTTAAAAAAAGTTGACGTGTGTAATCGCTTGTCATTCTCGCTCTATAAAAAAAACATAATACATTAACATTTGTCAGGAGTTTTGAGAGAAAGTAACGGCTGGTAGGTTGTTACTTTTGTTTTATCATTTAATATAGTTGTTTTAAGTGGATTTGCACACGTTAGTGTTGCGAATTTGTTTGCGTTTTCTCTAGCAGCTATTAGTATCTCAAGTAGTCTGGGAAATCTCAAGATCCCCAAACGGATCTTGAGATTTTATCATTGTCAAGATTTTCTTAGGTTAAGCTGCATCAATGTAATGTGAAGAGTTTTGTAAACAAAATACACAAACAAGGCTGCATGGTCTAAAACCTTTGCCTACCTTATTTGTAACAAGAAATAAACATGATTTCTTATATTCATACGAATAAATACATAAGATTAATTTTATCGTGTTTAATTAAACTTATTTAATTTATTGTTGATTCTCGACATTTTGGTTTGACTAGAAATTATCGAAATACATAATTTGATATCGTAAAGCACCCGAAATTGAGTTAATAAAACTCATTTTATTGAAGACTGCAACGTATGGTGCAGATAATGAGCGCGGCGAGTGAGGTGGAGGCGGCGTTCGGGCGGCACGCGGCGCGCGCGCCCGAGCTGGCGGACGCGCTGCGCGCGCTGCACGTGGACGAGCGCGCGCCGCCGCGCCCGCCGCCGCCCGCGCCCCTCGCGCCCGCCGCGCCCGCGCCGCACGCCCCGCACGCGCCCGGCCTCGCGCCGCCGCGCCCGCCGCCGCCCGACACCGACGACGAGGACGAGGACATCTTCCGCAGGCAGCCACACCCCAGCCAGCCCATATTGGTATTTATAACATATACATTAACGTCTAGTTTCGATTGTGGGTTTTCAGGCTGATATTGCGTTGTGTGATTTAGTAGTTTCCTTGCCACAATGGCACAACCAATTTATATGGTGACGTTTGATCATCCGATTTTTATCAATCGATTTTAGTATTTATCCAAAATTATTCATTTAATTTTGATTTTTTGAGTATTTATATTTTTTGGGATTTACAAAATTTTTAAATATTCACGTTTTACAATATTTTATTTTACTATAACCATTCTATAAAATTGTAGTGGTTTTTTTTTAATTTTTTTTGATTGTCCGTCAACTTACATTTATACATATGATTTAGTACTTCCTTCCTTTACATATAGCCAGCTGAATTATATGATAATAATTTTAACTGTCATTTGTACATAACCTCTAAAAACAGCCTTTAGGGTGTTTTAAACGATAAATTTTTAATACTAATACTTTTCGTTTAAAACTACACTAACTAAACTACAATTTCATCCATATAATTTATATTTTTTAAATTATATTTCTTGATAGTTAACTATAAAGAAAGAATTGCCTATTGTTACGAGCTTGGGGTTCGAGACAATTAAAAACTGCCAAGTGAATTACCAAAATTGACACTTTAATTACAGAACCCTAATTACAACTCAAAACCACACTAATAACAAAACACAATTATTACTGTTCCTACTGATGACTTTAGTTCGCAGTTGTATCGCTTCGAAGTATTCGCTTGTATCGCCAATTCAATACTGTCCTTATGTAGATCCTCAGGTAGTTTCCAGAACTTTCTACTGTAGAAAGTTCTAGAATGTTCGAGTACATATCGGTCCCGATTGACTAGGTGTCGATAGTTCTAGAAAGTTCTTCCATGAAAATGTCTAGAATGTTTTTGACTCCCCTAGTTCTGCTACTCGATACTAGAGGGTGCTAGTGGTAACTAGTGTCGCCATGAACCAAGCATTAATTATAGCGCGCAACACTATTAAAATTTACTGTTGAACATAGGCCTCCTCCGTAGATTGCCTTATATGAAGGATATTTGTCATAGTTGCCACGCCTGACAAATGGGTTAGCAACCGCAGTTTTTTTTATTTTAAGAAAGGATTATCTAACCGTTATAACCAATTTGTCAATAACTTTCAATTAGTGTCACCTTGAATTATGCTGCACCGTGACTAGTAAATTCATCTTTAATTTTTTTTGCATACGGTGTATCTTTACGGTACACCGTATGCATAAAAGTTAAATTGCTAAATGATTTTTCATAAAAAAATTGCTAACATTGCTTGTTTCGTTTTAGGTGGCGGCTCACAATCTGCACAAAGCAGTGCGAGAATGGTCGTCAAAGGATAATGAAATTATTGCCGCTGCGAAACGCATGGCGATCCTCATGGCTCGTCTCTCCGACTTAGTGCGTTCCGACTCTAAAGGTATATATATATATATCCAATTATTTTGTTTTTAAAAGTTAATATAATTTGCTTACATCTGTTTATAAACTTATCTCTCATTTCATTAAAAGTGCTTAAATTATTATAGTTAAAAAAAAGGAATGACTGCCTATTGGCCCAAACTAAATTTATCATTCATTCACCTTCTCCGTTGCAAAAAATTTTATTTCTTTGTTGTTGTTGGCATGCAGATCACTAAAACTAATTTACATTGGGGTAAGAGATATCATAGGTACTTGACATAACATTATGTTAAAGAATGGTGTCCCTTAAGACAGAGATCTCTTGTTCAATTTTTAGGTAGTTACAACCATGAAGCAAATACAAAGAGGAGACGTTGTAAATAAATTTCACTATGTAACAATGCGTGACAATTTGCGGGGTGAGGGGATGCAAAGCCCCGCCCACTACACTATCTACATCTACTGATAAATAGTAAAACTGCTCGAATCTTTCCATATCGATGTTGCAATGTAGCTTAGCTACCTTGACGGTAGATGGCGGCATGTCCACAAAATGTTATAAACTATAAAAATGATATTTTGGCGATTAAAATTTCTTTATGTCTGAATGCAAAACAAATTTCAGCACCTTCGTATGGTTATTTTATCATTACCGAGCTCTACGTACCTTTATATTTTTAGTTCACAGGACACAAAGTGTCGCCATCTAGTGTGGAATATATTTAATTATATTTGAAAGCGGACGTAAAGAGATTTTTCTAGAACTATTTTAATAAATTAGGTGTAAAATTACTTACAAATGAAATGTGATGCCATCCATAGCATTGGAGCGTCTATCTCATGAAGCAAATACATTCAGACAAAGAAATTTTAATCGCCAAAATAATATTTTTATAGTTTTCATAATAATTTTGGGAATAGGGCGCCATCTATCGTCAAGTAAACCTCATAAAAAATAACAAAAAGACAGGGCCGCAATTAGAATTCAATTATTTTACCCAGTAACCCAACATTCAATATTAAAATGAAGGAAATTGTACTTGGCTGATTTTTACGAAATGTTTAAGTTATATTTAAGTGACATTCTATATGCAAAGAATCACTTAAATAAAATTTAAATATGTTTATCATTTCGTGAAAGTCAACCTTCAAGAAATATTTATTTTATCCATAAAATAAAGTCTCTTTGAAACTAAATATTCTATGTTCAATATTAAGTAGGATATTTAATTTGGAACTAAATATCCTACTCATATCACTAATACTATAAAGGCGAAATTTTGTGTGTTCTTTCTGTCTCCTTGAGCTTATTCCACACTAAGTATGTACTGTGTATGTGTAATTTTTTCACGAAGAAACTGTGTGGGTTATACTACTTAATATCTCTGAGGGAGAACAAAGAATAGACAAATTATTATAATTAATATAATTTTATTTACAAATAATTAAAATATAAATATTTTATTCCAAATTAGGCATCCGAATGCACTTTTTGAATGCCAATCTAAGAACATTAAATTGTATTTAAGTGATTCTTTGCATATAGAATGTCACTTAAATATAAGTTAAATATTTCGTAAAAATCAGCCTAAGTACAATTTCCTGCATTTTAATATTAAAAGTTGGATTACTGGGAAAAATAATTGAATTCTAATTAGGGCCCTGTCTTTTCGTTATTTTTATGAGGTTTACTTGACGAGAATACGGCCTGTTCTCAAAATGATTATAAACTATAAAAATAATATTTTGCGATTAAAGTTTCTTTATGTCTGAATGTAAAACAAATTTCAGCACCTTCGTATGATTATTTTACGAATACTGAGCTCTACGGACCTTTATATTTTTAGTTCACATGATACAAAGTGTCACCATCTAGTGTCGAATATATTTAATTATATTTGAAAGCCGACGCAAAGAGATTTTCTAGAACTATTTTAATAAATTAGGTGTAAAATTATTTACAAATGAAATGTGATGCATTCCATAACATCAGAGCGTCTATCTGAGTAGTTTTTACACAATAAAACACAACACTTCATCTTTTTCTTCTTAATACTACGAAAATACACCGATTTGCGATTTTGTCAACAAATAAGCGCACAGGACGACTGCTGACAGTATACTAACTAAAGCCACGCCCACTATGATGACGTCAAGACCTACTTAGAATCACAGTGCACAGTTGCTTATGTCGTCTCCCCTTTGTATTAGCTTCATGGTTACAACAAAAACAATTGGGTTATTTATTCCATTGATACTTTCCATTTTACTTCTCAAGTACACTACACACTGATACTGCTGCAAAGTTTTAATGATATTTTTCTGTTTTTGCCAACGCTAAAACGCATTATTTCGTTAATTTTCAAATCATCACTATTTCACTCGATTATTACTTTAAACTTTTTTTTATACATACTAATGCTAAACCTTTGGAAATCATCGTTCATATTGTTATTAACATTCGTGTTGTAGCGTCGTATATCCTAAATATCATATATTATGTCGCTGTTTGCTTTTTGGCTTTAAAATTTGATTTTTGTTGAACTTCGGAAGCCCGCAGCTACTGCCGTAGTAGTATAATAAATAAATTATATATTGTTGAACATAATACCATTCATAAATTGTTTGTCTTGTCTTTTGTAAAGAAATCACAAATTTGTAAATGCAGTCTTCGTCGACCTAGCTTACTTGTACTACCAAAGGTACGAACAAATTACGCAAAAAAAAGCATTACTATTGAAGGAGCACTGATTTATAATAAATTGCCTTGTAATATAAAAAATGTAAGCTCATTCAATAGTTTTAAGTCTCAGCTCTGAATCTGAATATATAACTGAAAAATTTTGACCATTCCATTGAGACTGAAGCTATTGAATGAGTGTTCGACGACCATTAGAATAAAATTAATAAAATGTAATAATTATTTTCATGTAAGTGGCATTGTTTGTCTTTTTGAAAATAAAATTCTTTAAACCTAAATCTAAATATTGTAAAAAAAATAAAACAAATAATAAATGGGTACATATATAAATAAATATATTTATATTTATTTATATATGTACTTTTATTATTATTATTAGACTCATTCAAAAGTCTACAGCTGAATGAACATAGGCATCCTCTAAGGAAAGTCACAAATGATGGTCCTGGACTCCCTTCATGCATCGCTTCTTACATATTATATTATTATAATTATTTCTAACACATACATAATAAAATTTGGTTAGACACTGCTATTTAAAAAAGCACAAACCTATCTGTTTGGGAACTCAAACAATTTAAGGACCCGCGGATTATTCTCCCAACTCTTCAGTTCCACATGCACACACATATTATGAAGTAACTTTCTAAGGAATTTCGTACTAAGCATATATGTATATACATCATCATATATAAGTTACATGTCATCCTGTTAGATGTTATGCACTCTTCATTATATTATATACACAACTTATATGTCAAAATTATATATCAGCTTTGTGTAAAAAATGTGCAAATGTTATAAATGTGCTTACTGAAGTATGGACGTACCGGGACTGATTTTAATTTCTCTTAGCCACGAAGAATTTTCCATATTCCTAAACTTCTTCATCAATAACCCATATGTATAGTTCACTTCTGAGCTAGAGCAGAAGCTTTAGTAGGGAGAATTTGATATAATAGCCCTTCTTAGCAAGAGGACTGCAGTACCAAACGTCTGGCATCTTTGACGCTGCTTTCCGTCGTCGGTGTTGCTATTTATACAGAGATACCTTGCCTATTTTAGCTTTATTGTTACGCCCATGCCCGCGTACAGTGCTTCAGAATAAATATTTTGCATCGGCTAACTTCGTATTTTCGAATACATCACGTATCACATACCGAGGCGGTATTTAATATGGAGCTGAAACAGAAATATTAACTTTTATATTCAATATAGATTATAAATAATACTTATTGAAAGTCACTCTTTTGTTTAATTACCACTGGTTCGAAAAAACCTCTGTCCTGAGAAGAACCAGCAAGAAACCCAGCGTGAATTTTTTTTATAAATAACAGCTTACAATCATGTATGTTCCACAATTAACAACACAACAAATTAGAAATAGTTTGGTAGCGATCACCTCATTCGCCCGATGTAACCAATTTTTATTACGAGATTATTAAAGTATTGGGAGATATTGTTAATTATAACTTAAGTACAATTTTTCAAGTCGTATTCTAGTACCCGATATTGATGAATAAAAATAAATTTGAATCATACTTTTATACTTAAATTTTACTTTGAAAAACAAAACACGGTGGTGGTTATAGCATCTTTGTATAATTCCACTGAATAAAGCCGCTCGCAAGGCTTGCAACTAATTGCTGTTTTAGAAATTATATTGCCCTTTATATGTTTGTGATAAGGTTGAAATTAGGAGTGCTTTTTAGAATTATTTTTCGTCAGTCGTTTTTGTCAGTTGTTTTTGTAATGTACAATATGATTTTTTCCGATGTTTGCCGGCACAATATTTATTCCGCAGTACTGTAGCCTTTGCCACTCATTGTGTAAATTTGTTCACTGCTTACTCTCGGACAGAGGTCGCTATGAATCTTAGCGGTAAGTATTATGCACGCTTTTCTATGTTTTTAATTTTTATGAACTGTAAAGCTAATTGCAAATATTATGCTTAAAAATTTGTATTATTATGTCTACATTTTATTTTTATATGGTATATTTAGGTCTAAGTGCCATAAGCAGCTTATTAAAGTCCACTACCGAACATGGGCCTCCCGCATAGATTGTTTCATATATTTGCCACAGCTGCCACGCTTGGCATGCGGGTTGGCAACCGCAGTTGTATATTTTCAGTCGTTATTAGGAAGACGTTGCTGTCCATCTCCTGATTTGTTTCCCTCTGTCGCTTTTTACAACACCCACGGGGTAGTGGATATTCGTACACCGCCACCTACAAGGTAAAGGGAAGATTCGCATTTGTCAATCAACGTTTTCTGACCTGTAAGAAGTCTGTATAATGTAAAGAAATTATTTAAAAGAAAGAGCAACAAATTGTATTCTTTTTTTTTCTGGATATTTCTCAGAATTAACACAAATCCTTTACCATATAATTTATTTTATATTATTCAAAACAGGCAGCAAACGCGAGTTGATCGCGACCGCAAAGGCGATCGCTGAGGCTTCAGAGGAGGTCACGCGACTCGCTAAGAAACTCGCTCTCGAATGCACTGACAAGCGAATTCGTACCGTAAGTAGATAATCTAGTAGATATATGTATATAAGCGAAATACTATTAACTCGCTCACTCGTCACGAGATCTCCAAAACTATACGCCCGATTGACTTGAAATTTGGCATATATATTCGTTTCTCGATGTAGATACCCTATAAGAAATTATTTTGGAAAATTCAACTCCTGGGGGGTTGAATAGGATGTCACAGCTTTACAAGTATAGGAACATAATATTATATACTTGCACACACACACATAGCTTTATGGTCGAAATCACTGAGAATCACTCAAAGTACAAAAAGCAGCGAGCTTCTCGAACCATATTTAGCCGGAAAATATGGGTTTAGATGAAAATTTGTGACAAAACAACATAAGACTATTGTGTTTAAAAGAATAAATTTAAATTATTTTTTTATATATTATTTTTTATATAAATTTTCTTTATATTTATCAAGCAGGGTACTACCATGCAGTGATGCCACCCTGCATTATCACAACATTGCACTATCGACTTATTTGCATTGCATAGCGACTTAAAATATTCAGTGAGGTAATATGATAGAGTATGATAGAGGCGAGTCCCCATTAGATGGACGAGTTGGTAAGAGATGTAGTAGATAGTAAATCGATGGTTGTAGGTGGCTCAAGACCATACTTTGTGGCATTCCTTGGGTATATGCTCAGTAGGAACACAGACGTCGCCAAGAAATGTTGTGATGATGATGATGATGATGACGAACATGAAACGAAAATTATTTATGAAAACAAAAGCACAGATTTCTAGGTTTTCTTTGTATCGATGTAGCCAGTATCTTATTATATTTGTTAGCGGTGAGATATCCCAAATTATTTATACTTCCCCTTTTACAGAACCTGCTTCAAGTTTGCGAAAGAATTCCGACCATCGGCACTCAGCTTAAGATCCTGTCAACTGTTAAAGCTACCATGCTTGGAGCTCAAGGTGGGTGAAGTAATTTTTTATTAGGTATATTTGTTATAGTTTTTTTTCTGGTCTATTTATAAAGTAATAACAAGTTTAAATAAAATCTAAACACGATGTATATACGTAATACTTAATAGTATATTGTAATTTGTCGTAATCAATTAAAATTAATATATTCGATTGTCCTTAAAAATTATGCCCAAGTTGAGGAGCTTGTGCCATTTTGGCGGCAATATGGCTTACATGGTATATATTATATTTACGCGACTATTACGCTACTTTATGATTTCTTATATTTACGCAAATACTACACACTAAATGAAACTAATTGAACGGATTTTGCCTAGTTTAATTTTAACTTTTTAATATCCGCGGTTCTAGGCAGAACGGACCAAAGATCAATATTTAAAAGATGAAGGTAGTTTTCGTTAATTATGGCATCGGGACGTCAAACACCTCGGTCCCCCCGTGACCATGGGTGCTGTAAATCACCCGAAACGTAGAGAATTAAAAAGTTAAAATTAAACGCGAAAAAAATAACCGTAAAATTATTTTCATTTACTATATTATAGCTACTTATGTAATGCTTGCTTTTTATTTTCAATGCTTCTAAAGCGTTTTAATTTTTTGACAGTCGGCATGCCGGACTATAAAGGTATGACAATAACTGCTATAGTTTTATTAGTGCAGCCGTTTCCAAATATGCAGGGTTCTTTTAATTGGATATCTACATAATTATACACTCATATTTTGTAATTACCAAAAAAAAAAATAAGTGTTCTCAGTGTCTGTTACTGATCACATTTAGGTAGAAAAAACTTAAAATAATTAATTATAATAATTAACCACTCATTTATTATACGTAATTACTGAATTTTTACTCCAATTCGATCCATTCATAAATCACGCCCTGTCGTGCCAAGCTGTCGCGCCCCAATTCTATTTTTAGCATTTTTAGTTTACCAATATGCAGGACGTAAAACAGTGCATGATAGACGCTTTTAATAAAGTGAAACGACAAGGCGTGTTATTGTCGCTAAAAACAATTTAATAAAACGTGCGGAAGTACTTCAATACTTGTAGGTTAGTGATAGTGTAAATAAGTGCGTGCGGAGATGTAAGTTCATATTGTAAATAATTTAATTGTTGTAAAAAGCTAATTGCCACTTTTCAAATACGCCAAAATTAATTTCCGTGTCGCTCTGTAAATCATTTAACTTCATTATTTTCTTACTACCTGTTTCATTGGAAAGTAATTTTGTCGACCTTAAGTCCGTAAAAGTATGAATTACAAATAAAAATATTTTTATTCGTTTCGTGAGCCGGGAAGTAAGCGAGAGAATACGAATGAGAAAGAAGTAGTGACGTAGGTACTGTATTAATGGTGGGAGATGGAACGGGAGCGTCTTATAAATGGTGTGCGTACGTCATTTACTAGTGTAGTATTTTCTAATACTATGCCAAAAAAATTAGGCTAGTTTTTAGATAAAAACAAACCTCCATAGCATTGTCATAGATAAATAATAATTAATGCTGACAGTGTCTTTATCACTAGTAACATTTGCTGCAACTGTACTTAATTTTTTTGGTTCTTACAAAATAGTGGTGTATATAGTTTTAGAGTTTAGTAATTATGATATAGTATAATATAATTATTGAATTATAAGAAATATTTATTTATTTTGTTCATTTAAAAACTTAAATGTTACACCCTAAGGTACATAGGGCAGACTTAATGCCATGTGGCATTCTCTGCCAGTTAACCCTGAGTGCCAAAGACAATTGTAGGCAGGTGCGAAACATAATACAAGTGTACATATATTAAAATATATGCATAGTACATACATACACAATATATATTTAAATATACATACATATAACATATATTTACATACAATAATACAATAAGAAATATGTGATTAGTTGTCTCTAAAATAATTTATTCTACTAGCAAGTATTGCGTTTTGTTTTGCATCGTGGTTGCGGCAAGAAAGGAACAGCGTCAGATGTGGGACATCTGTAGACGTCTGACAAACGCCAATCTAGCAGCCTAGCACTACGATGACGGCAGATTTTACTTTTATCGGAGAAGCCCGTATCTACCCATTTTCCAAGTTTTTTCTATCTCCATGACAAGGCGTTCGAGAGAAGGATCTTATGCTATCACAGCTCATTGGGTGAAAATTTCTGTTTTGCTTTGATGTTAATATTACGAAAGGTAAAAATATTTTTTTGTGTTTTAGGAAGCGAAGAAGATCAAGAAGCAACGGAGATGCTTGTTGGAAACGCGCAGAACCTCATGCAGAGTGTAAGTCTATACATTTTTTTTATTTCATTGTTAACGAGAATGAAGGAGAGAGAAAGAGGGAAAAAGATAGAAAGAGAGGTGGCTCTATCACGTTAAAAACGTAATCGCCTACTTACGCCTAATTACTGCCTGGTAATTTATCAGAATCGACTGTAAGCCAATGTCTTATTTTAGGTTACAAATGCTTTCTCATAAAGTATGAACACAACGCAGTTTCAAGGTGATTCTCACCGGCAAACGGTTTCCACCAGAGTTACACAATCGCACCACAGGACTGCATCGATTTAATAGAGGTGTCTATGAATGTCGAATGTCGACGGCTTCGTTGCGCAGTGACTTAGTGTGTGGTGAGTTGCAGCGCTTAGGGCCGCGGGTTCGAATCCCGCACGGAACAAGTAATTGTATGACTTACAAATAATTGTTCCATACACTGCACGATACAGGAGAAAATCATCGAGTGTATAGCTAACGCTTTCTTTTTTTTTAAATCATACGAGTCCGTTAACGTATTTGACTTTTTTATATAGGTAAAAGAAACGGTAAAGGCAGCGGAAGGCGCGTCGATAAAAATCCGCACGGAGCAAGGTGGCTACAGGTTGCGTTGGGTTCGTCGCTCGCCCTGGTACCAGATCTAGAGCGGCCTCCGAAACGGTACACCCGTTCGTGTATTGGTTGAAAACATATTTGGGAGTTGGATTTCACGTAATATTATAACTAAACTTGATTTCTTGAAATTCTATTTATAATAATCGAGCTTTCATAGTCGTATCTTAAAAAAAACGCAAATTAATTGCCTCAACGAATTAAATTTCATTTTTTTTTGAAGAACTATTAAATCAAATATGATTTGTTTAAATAATGTTTATAATAAATAAATATATATAGGAATAACAAATCAATATACCTTTTTTTTAAATTCTAGTACTATTAGAGCCCTTAAAGTTTCACAGGCACTAAAAAGTTAAGAATAGGGTAGAGGACATGTTACAATGGAAAGCATTTTGAATTAAGCAATTTTAGATGTGAGCAAAATTTCATTCGTAGATATCTTTTTATCGTAACTTGCAGTGTAATTAAAAGAACCTTATTACGAATCTGAACTCTAAATTTATTTTATGTAAAGTAGAAAGTTGTATGACAGCGATATTATGGAGCGTATAATAACCGATAAATGAATGCTATATTCTATTTAATGTATTTTTATATTATATAAAGAATTGTATTGCAATAATTTTGGGTAGGTTGTGTGAACAAACTGTATTTGACCAAATATTTGGCAAGATTTTTTTTCCTTTAGTCATAACAATTGACGTGGAAACGGGGCATTCCATATTAGTCCTCAGGGGTGACAACGCATCTGCATTTTGATTCTTTTTTTAATCTGTGATTGGTGTAGATGTCTATGGGTCATAGCGTCTACTTACCATCGGCTGTGCTCGTTTGTCGCCCTTGAATTCTGGTATATTATGTTCTATAAAAAACTAAGATAATTGATAATAAACTTTATGATATGGTGTTATGATCTGAAATCATTTGATTCAATTTGTTAGTATATTATAATTAAAATATTTTGATTCTGGTCATATACAGGTTGTTTGATTATTTGACAACGAAAGATTATTTAAAGGAAGGTGGAGTAACCGAGTGTGATTATAAAAGCAAGTGCCATGTATTGTGCTTTATAGTGTATAACGTTAGGTAAACGTGATGTATGTATGTCTGTTCATAATGTGGTATGTTTACATTTTTAATTACACTTAACACACTACAACTATCACGCGGTATGTAAAAGAGTTATAGTTTTTTTTGTTTTTGTGAGAAATGTTACTTAGTAAATGTGATTTGGACCTTTGGTATCGTGAAGACATTTACGTGTAAATTGCACATGGAAAATCATCATTGCAGAGCACTCATTTCGAGTACGAGCATATCTCACGCTATAGTAGTAGTACGAGTAATTGGTTGTCACAGTTTTTGCCCGATATAGCGCAATTCCAAAATTACGTCCCACTGCTATGCATTTATTTTATATATTATATATGTGTAGACTTCATTTAATCCGAACACCGAATCCGGTTATTTTCGATATATAATTTATTTTTGTAAAACTCATATACGAGACTAGAGAAATATAAACATAATTACACAAAAAGTGAAATGTCACAAATAAAATGGTAAATACACGTTATGAACAGTCATCCAATCATATCATATAGAGAGATTATATTTATATATGTATTTTAAAGGTTTAAAATATATGATGTATGTAACTCTGCATATTTTAATATGTAATATCAACGTGAACGAAAAGTAAATTCAATTGTAAGTTATTTAACTAATCACTTGCCTTGACAAATGTGAATGTAAACTGAAATTAGTAATAAGTGGAATATTATATAGTATATAGAAAGAATCAGTCTGTATATAGGGGTGCCCACTAGTTGGAGCCACACGCAAGTGTGAGTAACGATCCAAGAGCGAGTCTCATCCGACACTATTCCGAAGATATCCCGGATGTCAGTCTGAGCGAGATTAGGATGGCTCTCCAGCGCCTTAAAAACGGTAAGGCCCCAGGCGAGGATGGAATTACAGCGGAGCTTCTGAAAGCGGGTGGAAGACCGGTACTTGAAGTCCTTCAGAAGCTCTTTAATTCCGTCCTCCATGGTGGCATTACACCGGAGGCGTGGAGCAGAAGTGCGGTGGTCTTGTTCTTCAAGAAAGGTGACAACGCTCTCTTGAAGAACTACAGACCGATTTCCCTTCTGAGCCGCGTCTACGTGCTGTTTTCGAGAGTCATTACGAATCGTCTCGCGCGCAGACTTGACGACTTCCAGCCTCCCGAACAAGCCGGTTTCCGAAAGGGCTTTAGCACCATAGACCACATACATACCCTTCGGCAAGTTGTACAGAAGTCCGAAGAGTACAATTTGCCACTATGTCTGGCGTATGTGGACTATGAGAAAGCCTTTGATTCCGTCGAAATTTGGGCGGTGCTGCAGTCCCTTCAGCGGTGCCAAGTTGACTGTCGGTATATCGAAGTGTTGAAGTGCTTGTACAGTAGGGCTACGATGGCTATCCGAGTACAGAACCAGAGTACGAAACCTATCCAATTGCAGAGAGGTGTAAGACAGGGTGACGTCATATCCCCGAAACTCTTCACCGCTGCATTGGAAGACGTTTTCAAGCTTCTGGACTGGAAAGGATACGGTATCAACATCAATGGCGAGTACATCACTCACCTTCGATTTGCCGACGATATAGTCCTTATGGCAGAATCGCTGGAGGACCTAAGCACTATGCTCAATGACCTCAATAGTGTTTCCCAACGGATAGGTCTTAAGATGAACATGGACAAAACTAAGATCGTGTTTAATGTCCATGTCACACCTATGCCGGTAGTTGTTGGGAACACTAAGCTCGAAGTTGTTGACGAGTATGTTTACCTGGGACAAATAGTCCGACTAGGTAAGTCCAACTTCGACCGAGAGGTCAATCGACGGATTCAACTCGGCTGGGCAGCGTTCGGGAAGCTACGACACATCTTCTCGTCAGACATACCTCAAAACCTTAAAACGAAATTGTACAACCAGTGCGTGTTGCCAGTGATGACTTACGGAACTGAGACGTGGTCCTTCACTGCTGGCCGTATGAGGAAGCTCAAGGTCGCTCAGCGAGCTATGGAGAGGGCTATGCTCGGAGTTTCTCTGCGTGATAAACTTAGGAATGAGGATATCCGCAGTAGAACCAGAGTGACCGACATAGCCCAACGGATTAGTAAGCTGAAGTGGCAGTGGGCCGGCCATATAGCTCGAAGAACCGACAACCGATGGGGAAGAAAGGTTCTCGAGTGGCAGCCTCGTACCGGTAGGCGAAGTGTAGGGCGTCCCCCCACGAGATGGAGTGACGACCTGGTAAGACATGCAGGAAGTCGATGGATGCAGGTGGCTCAGGACCGTGTTTTGTGGCATTCTTTGGGGGAGGCCTATGTTCAGCAGTGGACTTGTGAAGGGCTGTAATGATGATGATGATGATGATGACATGCAGCATAGGAAGGTTGATTAAAAAAAAATGTCTAAATCAATCTAAATGTTTCGAAGTTATGCGCAATAAAGGAACAAACATAACTTCATATACAGGCTGGTTCAAAATAAAAATATTTTTGTATGAGTGAGAGAAATGTATTACTAAAATATAAAAATAGTAATAATTTAATAATAAATGTAGGAAATATTAGGCAATAAAATAACATGCTCTAGCTGTCGTTGTTTCTAAGTGTGCTTGTATTTTACAACTTTTAATTCTTTTTATCTACATTTTTGTTTATAGGTTATATTTTATTTATTCTAATAAACAGTTTTTTTATAAATTTGTAGTTTTTTTTAGTTATATTTTAAATTATGGTATCGGTAAGTTACATAATCGGATTGTAGTGCAATGAAACATATTCCACTCGGCCCAAAATAAATAGACAGTATTGCTTATTTAGCTATTATTTTTAGCTGTTAATTTTAATCAAGCAGCAAAATAAATATTAAACAGCTATATTTTATTGTTATTTGATAATAATTTATAATATTATCATTTATCTTATTATTGTTATTGTATAGTAACCAGTGTTATATAATAACCCTGTGTAGCGGCGGTGTAAGAAAATCCACTACCCCATGTCTTCCCGTGGGTGTCGTAAGAGGCAGGCGACAGAAGGAACAAATCGGGAGATGGGCAGCAGCGTCTTCCTAACAACGACTAAAAATAAAAAAACTGCAGTTGCCAACCCGCTTGCCAAGCGTGGCAACTATGACAAATATCCCCCTATGAGGTAATCTATGGGCGAGGCCTATGTTCCGCAGTGGACTTTAATAGGCTGTAATGGTAACAGTAATTGTATAATAGGTCGGCAAAAAGTTTCTTCGTATTTTGTTTGTATGAAATTGAAGAAAAATGTCTTTGGTTGTTCTGTTTGTATCCGGCTGTTTTAATATGAAAATATATAAAACATTAAGAAAAACATAAATAAAAAGTAAAAAACACTTACCCGCCGTTTTTCTGTTCGCCAAAATGAGTAAATTTAACGAAAAAATTTGATACATTTTGAAGTTTTATTACAAAAAAGGGTGGGACTCAAGCCGTGAAAAAAAATTTGTGACGTTTATGGACCTAATTCAGTGTCAGTAGCACAAAGTAGGTTTATTTTCTGTCCGGGAATTTTGATGTCAAAGATGCAACCCGCTCTCTGATCGCCCTCATACGGATAAAGTTGATGCCATTTTTGAAAAAAGTGGAGCAATATCGACATATTAGTAGTTACGACATAGCCTTGAGGATTGACCACAAAACAGTTTTTGACCCATTTGAACAAGTCTAGCTATACAAAAAAGCTAGATATTTGGGTACCACACGCACTCACTGAAAGAACCCAAATGAATCCTGTACTCTGCGCTTCTCTATTGAAACGATATAAAACGTCGAGATAACGAACCATTTTTGAAAATATTGATCATTGGTGATGAAAAGTGGATCACCTACGACAAGAACGTGCGAGAAAGATCATGGTCAATGGGCATTCGAGCTCCACAGATTGTAGCGAAACCCGGATAAACACGCAATAAGGTGATGGGATATTAGAAGGTCATCGTTTATTATAAGCTTTTATCATAAGGCAAAACCAACGATTCGGATTTGTACAGCCAACAACTATTGAGACCCAAGAAAGAAATTGAGAAAAAACAACCGGAATTGATCGACAGAAAAGGAGTGGTTTTTTATCATTATAACGCCAGACCACACATATGTTTGGCCACTCGGCAATAATTGAGAGAGCTTGGTTGGGAAGTGTTAATACATCCACCATATAGTCCTGACCTTGCACCCTTAGATTTTCACCCGTTCCAGTCTCTTCAGAATTCTTTGGGTAGTGTTAGGTTAACACATAGAGATGACTGTCAAAACTACATGTCGCATTTTTTTGATCAAAAATTTCTACAGCAACGGGATTATGTCACCACCTATAAGATAGCAGTAAGTTATAGAACAAAATGGCACATATATATTATAATTAAATGTAGTTAAAATCGTAAACACTCACGTCTGTCACCCAGTGGGGGTAGGCAGAGACTACCTCTCTCGCCTCCTCCACATCCATATACCTACGCATACACGCTCGTTGGTTAAGGGTACTCGTTAATTTGGCCCATTTTCATTATATCGCCAATTTGGTCGATAAACTTTCGCTTAGGGCATCCCTTCCAATTTTCTCTACCATACATTAAAGTAGGGATTAACACAGCATTGTGAATTGCCATACGTGCCTTTTTGGATACATTCTGACTTTCCACAACAGAGTGTCAAGCCCCATTTACACTATTTCCTACGTTCACTCGTCGTTCTATATCCTTATCATATATTTTTTTATAGGATTAGGGTGACAAACGAGCACACAGTCCACCTGATGGTAAGTGGTTGCTGCGGCCCAGAGACATTTACATCTATCTTCTATTACAAATTAAAATGCAGATCCGTTGTCACCCGTGAGGACTAAGACGGAATGCCTCATTTCCAGTGAAATGGGTCTCCGGTTCTCTACACTCACCATATGAACCACAGCAGTGTCAAGCTGCCATTTTACGCTGCCATTCTATTCTGTGAGAGCGTGGTCCTTCTCCGGTCCATTCGTGCTACAACTATACTATTAATATAGCTGCAGCATGGCTCTACCACGTATAAAATCCTATACAGAGATTTCAATGCCTGTGTCAACCCAGCGCTCAACCCAAATGAGTTCAGTGTTTGCCATAACACGTCCCTGTCCACTCTGTCATAAGCCTTTTCCAAGTCCATGAACGAACAAAAAAGCTTTTGGTTTATGGTCGAAAACTTCTCCGCGATCATGCGCATGGAAAAGACCTTTTTTTATATAGGAGAGGGGGCAAACGAGCATGCGGCTCACCTGATGGTAAATGACTACCGCTGCCCATGAACAACTGCAACACTAGGGAGGGAATAGCAGATGCGTTGCCGGCCTTCTAAAAAGGAGTACGCTCTTTTCTTGAAGGTCCCTAAGTCGTATCGGTCCGGAAAAATCGCTGATGGTAATCGATTCCACAAGGAAGTCGTGCGAGGAAGAAAACATCTTCTAAATCGCACAGTGGTGGACCGCCAATCATCCAGATGGTGTGGATGGTATCGGGATTTCTGCCGCGATGTGCGTTCGTGAAATTTGGCGGCTAGGATTAATCCGAACAATTCCTCAGAGCACTCCCCGTGGTAGATGCGAAAGAAAATGAAAAGGGATGCAACATCTCTTCGCAGTGCCAATGAATCGAGCCGATCGGAAAGGGTTCGGACGTCAACGATTCGAACCGCTCTGCGCTGGATGCGGTCAAGTGGAAGGAGCTGGCACTGGGGAGCCCCTGCCCAGAGATGGGAACAGTATTCCATGTGAGGCCGAACCTGCGCCTTGTAAAGTTGCAGGCGGTGTGCTGGCATGAAATACTGTCCCGCTCTGCTGAGCACGCCAAGCTTTTTAGAGGCCAATTTGGCCTTGTCTTCCAAGTGACCACGAAACTGCACATCACTCGATATGTCGACTCCGAGGATACCGATACTGGCTGAGACAAGAAGGGGAGTGCCTTGAAACTGAGGAGATACGACAAAGGGGTTCTTTTTAGCGGTTAACGCGCAAACTTGTGTCTTCTGAGGATTAAACTGGACTAGATTTAGTCGCCCCCAATCCGAGACTTTCTTCAGCAAAGACTCGACTTCAGACACAAGTTTGTTCCGGTACTCGGCGACGTTTTCCCGAGAAATATTGGCACGGCCGGTGTATAGATCATCACCAGTGCTGTCATCCGCATAGCAATGAATGTTACCAGTTAGCAACATATCATTGATATGCAGAAGAAACAGCGTTGGTGATAGCACACAGCCTTGTGGAATACCAGCGTTAATAGGCTTGTTGTCAGAACATACACCGTCTACAACGACCTTGATGCTCCGATCTGCAAGGAAGCTGGTGATCCAATTGCACAATTTCTCGGGAAGCCCATTGGAAGGGAGCTTCGAAAGAAGCGCTTTGTGCCAAACCCGATCGAAGGCCTTCGCAATGTCCAGACTAACGGCCAACGCTTCCCCTTGGACTCTACTGCCTCCGCCCATCTATGGGTCAGGTAGACCAGAAGATCACCAGCTGATCAACCCCGACGAAAACCGTATTGGCGGTCACTAATCAGCTGGTGATCCTCAAGGTACCGGATGAGCTGGCAGTTAATAATGGATTCCATTATTTTGGAGAACAAGGAGGTGAACGCGATAGGCCTATAGTTGGACGGGTCTGAGCGGTCGCCTTTTTTAGGGATCGGGTGGACAAAAGCTGTCTTCCATGAGTTCGGGACTACGCCTTGGGAGTAGGAGTACCGGAAAAGACGCGTTAGGACCGATGCCAACTCCGGAGAACACGTCCTCAGCACAATTGGGGGGACTCCGTCAGGTCCACTCGACTTCTGGATGTCCAGGGAGAGAAGTGTCCTTCCCCGGCTCGACCGGGGAAGGACCACGCTCTCATAGAATACCAGCGCAAAATAGCAGCTTAACGCTGCTGTGCTTTGTATGGTGAGTGTAGAGAACCGGAGACCCATTTTACTGGAAAAGAGGCATTCCATCTTAGTTCTCACGGGTGACAACGCATCTGCATTTTTGATTTATAATAGAGGAAGATGTAGATGACTATGGGCCGCAGCAACCACTTAACATAAGGTGGACTGTGTGCTCGTTTGTCACCCTTATCCTATAAAAAAAAATTCACCTCTTCTGGGCGAAGTATATAGTTTCCCAGATGAGTGCTGCGTTTGCGAATTAAGAGTCCGCAATTTATCAGGATGTGTAAAGGCGTTTCTTCCTCTAGGGAGCAAAACCGGCACATCCTTGATTTGCTTAGTCCCAGGATGGACATGAGCTTTTTTAAACAACAGTGTCCACTCAGGGCTCTTACTAGAATGCGCACTTTATTTTTACCTAATCCCAGGGCTTTCGAAGCGAATTTACGATCGAAAGTCCGGATTAAAGTCTTTGAATATTTTAAGTCTGGTATATCAGACCAGATGTTAAGTGATTTGTTGTGGTAAAGCATTTCCAGGGTCAAGCGGGTGCGGCTTTTTGTGATTCCACAAAATGGCTCGGGTCCAAATTGTGTACTCTTTGAGTCCTCCCGTGCGAGCTTGTCGGCAGTTTCATTGCCTATAATACCCACATGACCCGGAACCCATGTTAAAACTACTTTGTTATTTCCTCTCAAGGCGTTTAGGCGGTTCACGTAGTCTCCAACTAGCTTCGAGTTCAACTTTGATCTCAGCGCTAGCAGTGCTGCTTGACTATCAGAGTTAATATAGATTATACGGTTAACGTAGTGTTTTTGCAGATTGGTATTTCCGCACAGTGAAGTATAGCAAAAATTTCTGCCTGGAAGATAGAGGTGAACTTACCCAAATTCATACTAAGTTTGAATTTGGGTCTCTCCCCATAAATTCCAAAGCCTACGTTGAGGCCCATTTTGGATCCATCGGTATACCATCTAAGGCTACCGACTTCACAGATGACCTGTCCATTCAGCCAGTCTTCTCTGGGGGGTAGTTCCAATGTACACTTTTTGTTAGAAGTATATAGTGGACGCATGATATCTGACATCATGCCTTATTCATGATGTCATATATACGGTGTTTCCTTGAAGTCAAGCATGGATCTCAATCTATAGGAAAATAAGCTCAAACCGCCCTGAGCGCTAATCCTATAACAAGCTAGCCTTCGCCTCCTTGTCTGAATAAAGATCAAGGGGCGTTAGGCTTAGAATTGCATTAAGAGCCGCTCCAGGCGATGATCGCACCGATCCAGTTGCCATTAAGCAAGCAGTCTTTTGTGGACTATTTAGTCTGACCGCAGTCGTCTTTTGGTTGGCATTATTACACCAGACAGTGGAGGCGTAGGTAAGAATCGGCCTCACTGTACTGCTGTACAGCCATAGGATCATACTGGGACGCAAGCTCCTGTTGTTCCCGACCATGCGATTGCATGTACCTAAAGCAATTTTTGCCTTTGCATTGCTAAGGTGAGAGTTCCACGTTAGTTTTTGGTCGATTGTTACGCCCAAGTACTTAACTTCAGTGGAGAATGGTATTTCTTTACCATTAATTTTTGTACTAATTTGTCCAAGCGTCTCTTATTGGTAAAGGGCATTATAACAGTTGTATCAGCATTACCCGATAAACTATTATCCCTGCACCGGTTGTTTATGGTGTTTAGGACTCTTTGTATGATTGATGATAAAATACTTTGGCAAAAACCCCTCACAACGATCACAAGATCATCAGCATAACCCAGTGTGTCAATGCGAATGTCTGCCATCTTGTACAATAATTGGTCTACTGCAAGATTCCAAAGGAGTGGGGACAAAACACCACCTTGTGCACAGCCTCTTGTAGTTGCACTCTCAATCGAAGTTTGAAACAGCTCTATTTTTGCCTTTCTGTTTGAGAGCATCGACTTTAGTAACCTGATGGTTGTGGGGTCAACACTTAGGTGTCAGGCCCCCAACCATCAGTGATGTAGGGCTACTGTAGAAGGCGCCTTCAATGTCTAGAAAAGCACAAAGAGCTATCTCTTTATTCTCCAGCGCTTTTTCGACCCTGTCAATAACACTGATCAGGGCTGTTTCCGTAGATTTGCCTCTGAGGTAAGCATGCTGGTTGTAGTGTATAGGTCTCGTAGCTAGAGCTACATCTCTAATATATCTATCTAGAACCTTTTCAAATGTCTTCAGAAGAAGGAAAGAAAGGCGTATAGGTCTAAAGTAAAAGAGGCATTCCATCTTAGTCTTCACGGGTGACAACGCATCTGCATTTTGATTCTTTATTGAGGATAGATGTGGATGTCTATGGGTCACAGAAAACACTTACCATCAGGTGGACTGTGTACTCGTTGGTCACTTTATCCTAAAAAAAGTACTTTGGTAAGGCGTAGTCCTTTCTACCAGCCTTAGGTATAAATAGAACTTTGACAATTGTCCATCGTTCTGGAATATCATCATGCAAAACTTGCTCTGAAGATTTTTACCAGATAAGTAAGAAGGATATCGATACCCCTCTGTAGATTGATGGGCATTATTCCATCCTCCCCACTTGTTTATATGGTTTAAAGGAGTCAACAGCCCACTGCACCAGGTTTGGCCTTATTATCTTTGTAGCTCTACACCAGTCCTCGCTACAAGACCTTATGGCTCTGAAAGAGTTCCAGGCCAGAGTCATATGTGACCCTGGGAAATGGGTTGACGCTGGTAACTCCAGTGTTTCCGTTTCACAATTAGTGAATTTACCATCAGGCTTTTTAAGAAGCCCGATCTGATTAGGTTTAGCTTGCGATAGCATTTTGTGTAGTCTTGCACTGCGAGACAAAGACTCAACTTCCTCGCATAGCTTCCTCCACGATGTTCTCTTAGTTTTCCTAATTTTTTTATTATAATCGGTTAGGGCAGCACTATAAATGTCCCACTCTTTGTTTTTTTAGCCCTATTGAATAGTTTCCTGGTCTTTTCCGTAAGCTGCTTTAGATTAGTGTTCCACCAAGGAACTTTTGGTGTTGAGGTCTTGTTTTTGACGGGACAACTGTCTTCAAAGGCTTCACGGATACGTACGGTTACCGTCTCCGCCGCTAACTCTTTATAGGAAACGTTTCCAAATCCAGGCCAGAGTCATATGTGACCCTGGGAAATGGGTTGACGCTGGTAACTCCAGTGTTTCCCTTTCACAATTAGTGAATTTACCATCAGGCTTTTTAAGAAGCCCGATCTGATTAGGTTTAGCTTGCGATAGCATTTTGTGTAGTCTTGCACTGCGAGACAAAGACTCAACTTCCTCGCATAGCTTCCTCCACGATGCTCTCTTAGTTTTCCTAATTTTTTTATTATAATCGGTTAGGGCAGCACTATAAATGTCCCACTCTTTGTTTTTTTAGCCCTATTGAATAGTTTCCTGGTCTTTTCCGTAAGCTGCTTTAGATTAGTGTTCCACCAAGGAACTTTTGGTGTTGAGGTCTTGTTTTTGACGGGACAACTGTCTTCAAAGGCTTCACGGATACGTACGGTTACCGTCTCCGCCGCTAACTCTTTATAGGAAACGTTTCCAAATTCCTCATTAGACTATCTCTATAGACATCCCAGGAGGTCGCTTCTGAAACCCTGAAAGCAACAGTTTCATAATTTGGTGATGCCCTAATCACAAACTTAATGTGTCTGTAATCAGACATCGAGTTTTCACTACTAACATGCCAGTCAGTAATCCGCCTGGATATGTTATTGGTAACAAAGGTTATATCTAAAACTTTCTATAGTTCCATTAAAGGAGAGTTAATCTTTTCAAAATGTTGATCTTCGTCGATTTTGTTCCCACGGGTAGCTAGGGAAAAATTCGGTCATCCCCGGCAGAGCCCCGCATGCCGGGGGAAGGGCTAAAATATTACTCGAATCGCTCTAGTCTCGGGTAGGTATTGTTTGCGACTGGACTTCCCACCCGCCCCCCAGCCACGCATCCATCGGCACGGTACGCTTAACACCTTGGATTGGAGGAACGAACTGTTACGAATGAACGAAAGCGCAATGGACTCTAGATCAACTTCTAACGATTCTTAAAATTATTTTTTTATATTATACAGTCCAATTGCACCTGCCACAAAATCTCAACACTCCACGGGTTGACTGACAGAGAATGCCGATCGGCGTTAAGTCCGCCGTTTGTTACCCTATTTATTAAGGTATTTTTTTTTAATTTATTCATAGAAAGAGTGTTAACAATAAAGATTAAATAAATAAATAAACCTTGATTTTAAAAGTATTAAAATCATTTATTTTATTAATTTTAGCCAATTTTGAACTGAAATTCTTAGGGGTTTCAAGCCTTCGACCACGTGTCGATGGCTTGGAAAGTTGGTGAGAGCCTATTTATCGGCTTCACCTTCGCTGTGCCTTCGGCCAGAAATCGACCCTCGGTAGGAAATTAATTGTAACTTACAACATGGTTTTAGGTACATATGTGTAAGTCGAGCAATGGAATTATTTTTACTTGGTAGAGCCATGCTGCAACTATATTATGGTTGTAGACGAATGGGTCGGCTCGACCAGGGAAGGACCACGCTCTCACAGAATACCAGCGTAAAATAGCAGCTTAACACTGCTGTGTTTCATTTATGGTGAGTGTAGAGAACTGGAGACACTTTTTACTGCAAACGAGGCATTCCATCTTAGTCCTCAGCGGTGACAACGCATCTGCATTCTTAATTATCAATTGAAGATAGATGTAGATGTCTATGGGGTCACAGTAACCACTTACCGTCAGGTGGACTGTGTGCTCGTTTGCTACCCTATTCTATTAAATAAAACACATAATGCTAGCTAATTTTTGACAGTGGAAGAAAGTTATTTGGTCCTACAGCTGCACAATTCGTATAAAACTTACTTAATAATTTTGAAATTAAAGTTAAACGGAAATAGGAATTCAACGTACTATTATTTATTCTGTGGTTTAACAAAGAAAAGTACTTATGAAAACTTCATTGAGATGCTTAACTATATTATATTTGTATGTATGTATTTATTATTACGATATTATGTATGATGTACTGCAAAGTGAAAGCGAACTGTAATACGTCTTTAAACTATCTACAACTGCTTATGCTATGGTATAAGAGCCAGTGAACGGCACACTTACGGTATTTCAATAAGTAATAATTTTTTCAGTTAATCCCCTATACGTGAGGTACATGAAATGGGGGCTCTTTAGTTTGACCGGCGGTTGATATAGGCTTACGTGGGAAAGGTGTAAAAAAATGACTGAAAATTCTTGAAATATTCAATAAAAGTTACCGAAAAATAACATTGACAGACATCTATGACGGTCTCAACGTTATGGCAGATAGATTAACAAGTACATTTTTTTCTTTATAATTTACGCTATTTCAATAAAGCTGGAATTTCTGTCTGTGTTTTGAGTGTTGTCGATAGTATTATTTGACATAATATATATTTTGCATGGCAGACATATGTTGAGGTTCTATCACTCAGGCAGACAACGAACTTCAGTGGCGTCCATAAGCGCTTACTATAGTACTCGGTTTAATCCAGTCGTTAGATTAAATTAAAATTTCTATTAAATCAATTAAAATACTTGCTTTCAACTGTTCTTTAGTATTAGCCATCATCATCATCATCATCATTATTACAGCCCTTCACAAGTCCACTGCTGAATATAGGCCTCCCCAAGGAATGCCACAAAGCACGGTCCTGAGTCACCTGCATCCATCGACTTCCCGCATGTCTTACCAGGTTGTCACTCCATTTAGTGGGGGTCGCCTTACACTTCGCCTACCGGTACCTACAAAGCTGCCACTCGAGAACCCTTTTTCCCCATTGGTTTTCGGTTCTTCAAGCTATATGGCCGGCCCATTGCCACTTCAGCATACTAATTCGTTAGGCTATGTCGGTAACTTTGGTTGTACTGCGGATATCCTCATTTCTAAGTTCATTACGCAGAGAAACCCCGAACATAGCTCTCTACATAACTCGCTGAGGGACCTTGAGCATCCCCATACGACCAGCAGTGAATGACCACGTTTCAGTTCCATAGGTCATCACTGGCAAGACCTATCCGTTGGGAGGTACTATTGAAGTCATTGAGCATAGTGCTTAGGTCTTCCAGCAATTCTGCCATAAGGACTATATCATCGGCAAATCTAAGGGGTGTGATGCACTGGTCATTGATATCAATAGCGTATCCTTTCGCTTAAAGCAGCTAGTCTTAGGTCATTTTCTATGGAGTCGTAACGAAATGTTTACTAATCCAATTGCATTTTATAAGTTATTGGTCTACTATCTCGTTAACTTCTTAATTTTACTTAGCTGTGATAGTTTTCTTTTTAACTTTATTATATATACTTACCGGTGGACGAAGTGTAGGGCGTCCCCCCACTAGATGGAGTGACGACCTGGTAAGATATGCAGGAGGTCGATGGATGCAGGTGGGTCAGGACCGTGCTTTGTGGCATTCTTTGGGGGAGGCCTATGTTCAGCAGTGGATTTGTGATGGGCTGTAATGATGATGATATATACTTACTGCTTTGTGCATACTTTTCACTTTTCCAAAAACAGCGGTTTATTTGGTAGAGGAGGGGGACACATGACTCTAATGAAAAATACCACTTTAAAACTAAATATTTCGCAAACGGATCCCTAAATCGAAAAGATGATGTTCCACACCCGCAGTGTTTTTGAAAGATCTATCCAACGATACCCCACATGATGGAATAGACGGGAAAAAATGATCCTCCATATACTTGTATGCGAAGTAGGGTGGATGCCCCTAATACCAGCCCTGCCCCTTTAATATAGCAGCCTTTTCACCTTTTACCTTCATAAATGAAGTTTCTAGTGGTCTTATCTATAAATATTGTCAATTAAAAATTATTCGTCATAAAAGGAAAATATATTTCAAATATTACCACACAGTTATAAATCTATCAGTATTAAATTTAATATTAAAACACTTATACAACGGAAAACGGTCACTTTCCTATTTTTTTGACAAGTTATGCTCCCCAAAAAATTAGGCTTATTTTACATGATCTCGTCCTTAAACTTTGTGAGTTGCATGAATATGTCTATGGACGTAGTAATGCAGTTATTTTTAAATAAATGTATAAGCTTATTATTTTATTTTAGTGGGAATTAATGAGGCTATAATAGATATACGATATCGGCCTAAGGGTTTCTTTTATACTTGGTAGAGCCATGCTGCAGCTATATTAATAGTATAGTTGTAGTACGAATGGGTCGGCTCGACCGGGGAAGGACCACGTTCTCACAGAATACCAGGGTAAAATAGCAGCTTAATGCTGCTGTGTTTCGTATGGTGAGTATAGAGAACCGGAGACGATTTTTACTGGATAAGAGGCATTCCATCTTAGCCCTCACGGATGACAAGTGACAATGCATCTGCATTTTGATTCTTTATAGAGGATGTCTATGGACATTATGTAGATGTCTATGGACCACAGCAACCACTTACCATCAGGTGCACAGTTTGTTCGTTTGTCACCCTATCCTATAAAAAAATTGATTTGAGGTATCAAATAAGAAGTAAGTAATTTCAGCCACGAAATATAAATCAGGGTTGTCACAAACTGGAATAGATATCATGAATACGATAACCTATTTTGAGACGAAGTTAAGAACAATTCGTCTATGATATAAAATCGATTTTTTAAAAATTAAAGTTTACCAAATGTTTTATTTAATATAAAAGGATGATATTTGGCACAGGGTGACTGGAATTAGAGCCATTACGCCTTTTTCTGTATATCGTCATTTTTGACAGTGTTCTTCAAATCATAACTGTGATGAATGATCATTACATTTTTGGATAAATAACTAACATATCGCTCAAAACAAGATTTTAAAAGTATTGTACTATAATTAAAGTAATATAAATTTTTAAAGTTGAAATTGGCACTAAAAGGCTGGTAATAGGGGCATCCACCTATCCAAAATAAAAAGGTTTTTTAATATCTATATTAAAAAAAAACCTTTTTATTTATCTATAACTCCAAGTTAGAGATTTGTAGCACCTAGGGTCTGTGAGCATAACCGCGGACGTACGAACGGACGGACAGACGGACATCGCGAAACTATAAGGGTTCCTTGTTGTATAACTACGGAACTCAAAAAAAGACTGGATTAGAACGAGTGCTATAGTACGCGCTTATGGACGCCACTGAAGTTCATTGTCTGCCTGGGTGATAGAACCTCAATATATGTCTGCCATGCAAAATATATATTATGTCAAATAATATTATCGACAACATATTATATAAATTGCATCTTTATTGAAATAAGGTAAATTATAAAGACAAAATTGTACTTGTCAATCTATCTACCATGACCTTGGGACCGTCATAGATGTCTGTCATTTTTCGTTGTTATTGTATGTTATGTTATTTTTCGGTAACTTTTATTGAATATTTCAACATGTCAAAGCGGCAGACTTATTACTTTCACGTTTTTTTTCGGTAATTTTTTACACCTTTCACACGTGAGCGTCTCTATATCAACCGCAGCGCAGGTCAAACTAAAGAGCCCCCATTTCATGTACTCCAGGTATAGGGGATTAACTGGAAAAAAAAACGTGAAGCTTATTGAAATACCGTAAGTCTGCCCTTTTGTTCTTTTTTTTTCTTTTTTAAAAACCTTACCTCTACACTAGGATTTTCTCCTGTGTCGTGGAGGCAGTTCACAAACATAAATTGCACAAGGACAAACATCCAGACCCGAAACAAGTATTTGTATGCCATACAAATACTTGTTCCGTGCGTGATTCGAACCCGCGGCCCCCAACGCAACAACTCATTGCTTAACCACTGCGTCAAACTACTCACTCACTGGCTCTTAAATTACTAATGAGATCTTAGAACGTAAAAGTCATTAAACGATATAACGTTAACATAAAATCTCTAATACTAAAAACAAATGAATGAATATAATCGCTTGCTATAAAAAAATGTACGGGCAACAGAAACCTCGATCGGCTGTTGGCAAACGACCGCGCTACGATCGGACCGACGCGACGTAACGCGACGACCGGCGATGTTGCCGCTCCGAGCCGCATTCCGCCGCCGACCGCCATGTTGTTCAGCGAGAAATTAGACTTGAAGCTTATAAAATTCGTTAAAGAAAACCCAGTGTTGTACGATTACAATAATGTCAAATACATGGACTTTAATGCTAGAGAGGTCGCCTGGCAGAAGATCGGCGACGAGTTAAAGCGCCCTGGTGAGTTTTAGAAATGATGCCTTTTATAATTTACGATAATGCACTAGGTCGCGGACCCTACTATGTTTATAACTCGAATCATTAGCACCTACTTTCGAGTGTACTCTTTCTCTCTATACAAAGTAATTTTATCTAATAACGACTAACGACTTGAGAAAGTCGAATTGTCATTTCTCATGATTCGTTTAAGCTTTAGTTACAAACTCGTACCCGTAAACAAAGTATAGGGCGGTCCGCCAGTAGACAGGGTTACAACTTGGTAAGATATGCAAGAGCTATATGGATGCAGGTGGCTCAGTGCCGTATTTTGTGGCATTCCTTGGGCCATGTTCAGCTGTAGACTTGTGATTAGCTGTAGTGATGATGATGATATATGTAATTTAATCTTAGACCATCCCCTAAAACAGGATAAACCCTTCACTACTTTGTTCCAACCAGTTGCCATGAATAGCTGTTCTCTGAAAGTACCATTTTAATTTATTAATAATAAAGGTTGATAAATATTATTGTTTGTTTCATTGTAGCTGTGGACTGTAAAGTCAGATGGATAAACATAAGAGACGTGTACCGACGTATACTCCGAAAAAGTATTTGCAATCAAGATCAACGAACGAAAAAGTACAAATATGAAAATGAATTGGCTTTCATGAGGCCATTTTACAAAGATGTGTTTGTACAAAATGGTGATTTCGAATCGGATAGTAAAAGCAACGACCAGGGAAATGATGACGGCTATGATGATGCTCCCAATAGCGATGATGATGAAGATGAGAAGCCAATTCGAAAACTGAAAATTAAGAGATCTTGTAAAACTAGCTCTAAAAAGAAAAAGAAGAGAAGTTATGAAGAAGAAGAAAAACCAACAGATATACCATTCAATGAGTCTACCTTATCTTCCGACTTTGATCCCACAGATCCTGTAGACGCCTTTTTAATGAGCATTGGATCAACACTAAAAACATTTTCGCCTTATCATTTAAATTTGGCGAAAAGTAAAATATTTGCAGTGGTCCAAGAACATGATTTGCAGCAGATTATGCAAAAACAACGCCCCGAGGGATCGTCACATGAAGACATAACAACTAATTCAGTATTTATGCAATAACAATAGAGCAATTGGTAACACAAATATTATATTAAGTGGTTAATATATTATTATGCAGTTAGTGTAATTTGGTTCCTTGGTTAGTTATTATTATTAAGTACATAGCACATTATATTCTTCGTACATTTTTATCTAGGGTTTCAATTATTGGACCACCTTGATTTATGTAAATTCTGAAAGAAACAATCAAACAATGTTAGAAAACAAAAAAAAGAAGATGTAATAAGACCAAATATAATTATTTGATCTTATTATATAATATACTTTATTAATGATTAGGTAATTAGGAAACGTTAAATGTAAACAATTTTATTTTAATGACATATATTTAAGAATTAATGTATTACATTTACGTAAAGAGATTGTACGTATTGACGTTATTAAATAACAATTAGATACTAGAGTTTTTCGTCTTATTTTAAAAATTGATTTATAAAAACAAAGCAGCAATAAATAACAAGTTAACAAGGCTGTAACATGAATATATTTTATCAATTACGACACACCGGCGCCAGGCAACAGCGTCTAAGGACATGTCTGACACTGCGGTCAAATCGCCTGCCAAACGTGAGGAGAAATGCTATGTCCAGCTGTCTACTTTTACTGACCGACAACGAAATAAATTGGTGGATTTAAGAATGTTCTTGCGTAACTTTTGTGAGTGAGTGCATAGTGAGTAAACGTAGTAAGGTCCCATCACAGAGTATAGTAGAGTTATAGTAGAGTTCGAGGCGAGTATTATTGTTTTGTGGTTCGAGTGTTCGATCGATAAAACAATTTTCGATACGCGGCGAATTAAAAAATAGGTATCAGTTATGCGCATTACTAGTTCAAGATTTTAATAATTTTGGTTTACTATAGTACGTGAAGTTGGTATGAAGGAAATTGTAAGTAAATTATGTATAAATCTCATTTGTTCTATGTAATTGTCTTCTGTATATTAGGGTTTTGCTTGCTTAAATTAAAGAAAACTTAGTTCAGAGAGTTGTGGTTATGCGTTTGATAATTCCAAATGTTGACTTCATTCAATAATTTAATATTTATGTTGTGTTAATCGTCTTTTTTTTATAGAATAAGGCCCGACACATACATATGGAATTCCGTTTCGGGATTCCGTTTCTATATTCCCATTCGGAATTCCGAACGCATTTAGTCCATATAAAATCTATGACCCGTTACACACGTACGGTAGTTGTCCGTTCGATCTTTTGCGGGCAAAACGGGATCCCGCATGTGTGTGGCCGATCCGTTCGAAATTTCGAAACGGAATTCGGTTTCGATATTCCGATTCGGAATTCCAAACGCAGCAAGTCTATATAAAATCTATGACCTGCCACACACGTACGGTAGTTTTCCGTTCGAAATTTTGCGGGCAAAACAGGATTCCGTATGTGTGTGGCCGACCCGTTTTTAATTCAGAAACGGAATCTCGAAACGGAATTCCGTATGTATGTGGCCGGCCTAAGGGTTTCTTTTATACGTGGTAGAGCCATGCTGAAGCTATATTACTGGTATAGTTGTAGCGCGAATGGGTTGGCTCGACCGGGGAAGGACCAGCTCTCACAGAACACCAGCGTAAAATAGCAGCTTAATGCTGTTGTGTTTCGTATGGTGAGTGTAGAGAACCGGAGACCCTTTTTTACTGGAAACAAGGCATTCTATCTTAGTCCTCATGGTTGGCGAGATGTCTATGAGCCACAGCAAACACTTACCATCAGGTGGACTGTATGCTCGTTTGAAAACGAACGATTTAATGAAGTCAACATTTTGAATTATCAAACGCATAACCACAACTTTCTAGACTAAGTTTTCTTAAATTATTTTAATTTGAGCAAGCAGAATAGTTACAGAAGCTACACAGAAGGTAATTACATAGAACAGATGAGGTTTAAAAATAATTTACTTACAATTTCCTTCATAGCAACTACTATTGCAATTTGCAATAGACAACAAATTAAAACAAAACGTTTATTTGCCATAAAATTCTTCAAATTTTTAATGTAATAACAAATTTAATGAATCAGTTTTCTCTTTTAATTATTATTTATTACTTACAACTATTGCAATATTCAATGGAAAATAAAATTAATTAAAATTTATAATTTTGTACAACCGACGTCAATATAAATTATTAAGAATAACTCAAAAACTATTGGTGAGACCTTGATCAAATTTATATGGGACAACATATGCAGAACCAGTTTTCAAATAAAAAAAGAATCATCGAAATCGGTTCACCCAGAAAAAAGTTATGAGGTAACACATATAAAAAACATACAGTCGAATTGAGTACCTCCTCCTGTTTGTACTCGGTAGAGAACTGTTATTGAAATGTAAAAAATACAGCCTGGATTCGTTCTGGCCTTGCTCTATATTTGTTCGTAAAGTTTTGTCACGATTGGTTCGGCTATTCCGAAGCCTGTCTATTAGCCCGGACAGACAGACAGACAGATAAAAATTTTAAAAATAGTTCATCATCATCATCATCATTATAGCTGTTCATAAGTTCCCTGCTGAACATACCCCCCCCCCCCCCCCCAAGGAGTGCCACAAAGCACGGTCCTGAGCCACCTGCATCCTGCATGTCTTACCAGGGTATAGATAGCTAATATAAAAACAGGCTGTGAGGCATTACGTCTTAGTCCTAAGAAGTAACAATGCGTTTATAACCTTGTTAATTTAAAGTTGATTGCAGGTGTTCATGAGCTCCAGTAGCCACTTACCTTCAGGTGTTCTGCAAGTTCACTGGCACTTCAATTTTATAAAAACAAAGTACTTGAATGCGTTGATGTAATATGTACTATACGTTCATACGTAATAGAAAGGACAGAGATTTTGGTTGTTTGCAACACGCGTTAGGCCTCACGGCCTCAAACTTTATTACTCTGTGCCATAAAAAGGTTCTCCGTGCCTCCTTCCACGCGTCAAGCATTGCCGCACAGATTTTGTTCACTACGTCTATTCTTGTACATAGTACATCTTACTTTAATGCTTGCATGTATTAATCGTTGTGATTATACAGGGTTCTTTTGCAACAACCGGCAAAATTTGCAGAGAAAGTTCAGAATGAGTAATATAGACAAATGGTGAAGAAAAATTAATTTAAAAAATATCGAACATCCTTTTTATCACTTAAATTCAAAATGCGTGATAATGCATTATTTTAACTGATGGTCATTCATAAATATCTAACGCTTACTATTTTACTACGCACGCACACATTCGTAAGTGTCGAGCGATCGGCAAAAACGTGAATTGAATCGCACACTAGGTGATAAAAGATGTGCTGCCGCAATCGAGTAGAATATCCTGTAGTCTTATTTTATCGAATCCCAAGGTTTTAGAAATTCGTGTTGTTATTTTTATTGCAGATATTACGATACACGTCAATCAAATGTCAATGTCAAAATGACATTTTTCGCATACTGCTGATCTGATCCATATGCGTAAACATCATATTACTCTGTGTGATCCACCATGTTTAATTTTATGTTGTGTTGCTCTCCTTGACCAAGTTCATTTGAATGTACATTGAAACGAAGTGAAATTAAAGAAAACTAACAAAAAATGGTTAGTATATTATACAGCGATATTAACGATAGTGTACATAGTGCAAGCCAGGCCAGGCTCCATACATTTCTGGAACATCTCCTTTGGCTACTCTTTTATAAATAACCCTTTATAATCTGTGGTAGTAATGCAAGTGATTGTATAATCGAGTATGCTGCATCGATGACATGATGTAATCTCGTAACATTGTGCCGCGGTTGAAATGTATCACTTTATCACTATTCCATGATAAGATCATTTCTTCCATTTACGACTGCCTCATCGCGTTATCACTTTTTATTTAAAAAAAAATAAAAATAAATTATTACGTTCCAGAAAGAGGAATCTATATCTATACAAATAAATAAAATTGAAGTGTCTGTTTGTAATGTCAAAATTAGAGCTTTTTACTAAATACATATGAAAGTATATACGGAATTAATAACAAAAATACAATTTTTTAAATTTTTGTCCGTCTGTCTGTTTGTTTGTCCGTCTGTCTGTTTTTTCCGGCTAATCTCCGAAACGGCTGAACCGATTTTGACGGAATTTTCACTGGCAGATAGCTGATGTCACAATGAGTAACTTAGGCAACTTTTATTTTAGAAAAAGAATTAGGGTTCCGCGGCAAAAAAATTTAAACCCCAAATAACACGCGGGCGAAGTCGATTATTTACTGTTTAGGTAGGTATTTATCGTGCATTACATTATTTTTTATTTTTTATTATCTAATATTTGCTATAATTTGTCGTAGGTATTACATGGTACTCTATTTCAAAAAGTACCGGACTACCAGGGAGCTCTGGCAGTACGTTATAGTTCGACAGTGTAATTCAACACCGCCTTGCAAAACGTTTGTCGCTTGTTCGTCGGATTAGCACAGGTCAACTGTAATACCTTTTACAGCAACTTGTTAGAAAGGCTAAAATTAAGCGAGTCTAGGGCGTCCCTTGCCGACTCTACCACTCACTTCTACAGCATAAATTTGCTTTGTTACTCTTTCCTCAGTCATTCTTTCAACTTTTTTTTGGAATCATGAGTTGTTGGAATTAAAATTTAGTTGTGATCCCTGAGGACTAAAATAGAATGCCTCGTTACCAGTATAAATGGATATCCGGTTCACTAGACCTACCATATGAAATGCAAGAGCATTAAACTGTCATTTTAGGCTGGTATTCTGTGCAAGCGCGTGGTTTTTCGCCCAACGAGCCGACCCATTCTTGTTACAACCATGACAAACTTTTCTTATATTTACGCGAATACTACACATGTAACATAACTAATTTTGCAGATTTTATCGCGTGTCATTTTCACATTATTAATAAATGACGTTTCGAACACTAAAATTAGATTTATTACCGCGCATACCAGTTATACCAGCGATTTCGTCTGCGTTGCTTGATATATTAACAAAGTTTTCGTATGTGCCAAGGAAAAAAACATCAAAAAGA